CTTGGGGTCTCTAAGTGTGCTTTAACTGCCACAAAATTTGGGTAAAAATCTCTTGTTTGCCCCGAGCACACAAAACATGTGGTCATTCAGTTCAACAGCTTGGTTCTGCCCCCCAAACAAAATATTAGCACACCGTTTAACCATGAATTAATATAAATAATTAATTAATCATTGCTGTGAATTGTGAAATAACACTAACAAAATATGTTGATACTTACTAAAAACATTTTATTATACACCATAGTTACTGTGATGTAGAGCATGAGAACTGTACAGAAAGCATTACTTTGTTCTAAACTGTCCCTCAGTTCCCCTGTCACCTAAATAATTGATAGGTAAGAGAAAGGAGAGGACAATGTATCTAACAAGCTGTTTACAGATTAGGGAACAGCACACAAAAAGAATACAGTGTACATTTTACACGGCCACTTAAAATCAGCTATTTTAGCAAATTTTAGAGAGCTTTGAGAAATGGTATGTCTTTTCACTTAAGTTGTATTTTACATATTCTTATACATTTTTCATAAACTTTTTTTAATTCATTTTTTTTTACTACTAAGCACTTATATATATATAAAAAAAAAATGTTAGCATATCATTTATTTGAAACATGAGATGCATAGCGTAGTACTTAAACAGGGGAAGAAACAATAATAATATGTGCAGATAGACGTTCACAAAAACATTACTATTAATATTAGTTAGTATTGTCGGGATAAAATGTTTGAGATCATATGGTGCATTTTATCTTGCAAAATTTCAGACAGGGCATGATATATTAGACTACACACAGTGATATAGTTTTCTTACATAAAGTAAGAAGTGATAAAGATATATATGCACAGATATGCACAGATATGCACAGATATATAATTTTCTTACATAAAGTATGGTTTGATACAATAAATACACTTCAAAAATAGTAACTTTAGGGGGGCTGACTGAGCAGCAAGATAGACGTGCTTGAGAGGAGCTCTGCCAAAGAAACCGAAAACACTAGCCTATGATGCTAGTCACCACAGGTCTCTTCACTAAGGCATAGCCCTATGCTGTACTTAAAGATGTCATAACATATGTATGGACTAGAATATGACATTGTTGAACCATTATCTTTACCACCCTATTAATCTCATACTGTGATACAGTTGTGTTTTGTGTATGCAAACTCAATAAAATACAAAAAGAAAAGTAACTTTTACATTAAGCAGCAATCAGATCATCACACACGTTGTAGCAGTTTAACCCCTTAAGGACCAAACTTCTGGAATAAAAGGGAGTCATGACATGTCACACATGTCATGTGTCCTTAAGGGGTTAAACAGAGTGTTGAGAATAGAAAATAGATTGGAGTGAATCAAGCAGAGAATTAGAACTGAGAAAGACCAACCATGCATAAAAACCATGGTACCAAACAAAAAATGAGGAGCAGTAAAAAAATATCTATTTATAAATTATATATTTAAAAAACTGCTTCTTTTTTTTCCTCCGCTGTTCGTAATGTCTTCTCACTTGATCTGTGAACCAAATATGTTATATTTTGCAATATATTGATTGGCCAATTTTCACGTTATTTTGATGCAATCATCTTTTTTGTTTGGTGCCACAGAAGGAAATGATTGGCCAATCATTTAGTGACTGTCCCATTGCAATAAATCATATTTTTTTCCTCATGTTGGCAAAATAGGCAGAATTCAGAATCACAAATCAAAACAAACATGCACACCCATTACCCAAAACCCATGTTTTTCCTTTAAATTTATATAATACATGTTTTTTACTATGCAAATATTACTACAAATACTACTACAAATAATACTACTCAATACATTATTAGCTGTGTATTGCATAATATATTATGTCCTCATTTTATATCAACTAAAACATCATTCATGTACCTATAAAAATGCTTTTTATTATGTTTGTCTAACAGCATGTGTTTGTTAAACAGTTTTTTGTACTTAAAATCTTAGAACTGATTAGTATGTTGTTTTTGGCTGCAGATTAATGTTTTCCTGATTGCTTTGTTTTGATACAGAAGAATTGCAGAGGTAGTGCTGACGACGGTATGTGTCAGTAATACATGCAGCTACAAATTCCATAAACAAATTAATCATTCAGATGAACATGCCTCAGGAATACATACCAAATTAGGAATGCATTATTCAAACGGTTGATTCAAAAACATAACAATAAGATGTATAATTATTAATATAACAGTATATTACTGCATAGTGCCAGTGAAGGTAGAAACATTCTTCTTTTATACTGGGATAAAACACACCCACATAGCTTTTGCTTGACCCTTTCCTCCCTCCATTTTCCATTTTGCCATACAGCCAACCAGAGAAAGTGAGCTTTATTTATTTTTATTCAAAAAAGTAAAATATGGCAGCTAAAATATACCAGAAATCTAAACAAGAAGCATGTACTCTTGAGCTACTATTAGAGTTCCAGGCTGGCTAAAGTCAATTCTGTAAATATTTCTAGAGCTCTCAACCAGTGAATGGCTGATGAGATGAACATCACTGGCCATTAGAGGACCCTCGGCACCTGGCAGAGACCCAGGTAAGAGAACAAGCTTGGCTTGATAAAGGTCACAGATGGTGACCAAAACTTTTTTCCTGTGTAATGCTTCATTAATAAGATATTAAATTCACTTCACTGAGTGCCTGGACCTGCTCTGATTTGCTAGATTCATGTTACTAGGGGTTGGGGACAACCCCAACAATAGAGCACCATGACTGTACTTTGGGTTATTTGCCTTGAGAAGTTTTGCCCCTGGGAGTGCAGTCCCGTTCACTGGAAATTCATGTTCTCAATAGTGTTCATGTCCTTGATACATTATAATTAGACTTGAGCGGATACCTGGATGTTCGGGACCGGCGGGTTCGTGTTCGAACTTGACCCCGAACCCGAACCCGAACCCCATTGAAGTCAATGGGGACCCGAACTTTTGGGCACAAAAATGCCTCTAAAAAACTCCTGGAAAGGGCTAGAGGGCTGCAAAAGGAAGTAAAATGTGGGTATGAGTAGGACAAGTGCCCTGCAAACAAATGTGGATAGGGAAATCACTTAAAATAACATAAAAATAAAAAATACAGCTGAGCCATAAAATAGCACTAGATGGAATCTTTGATTTTAGCGTTGGAAGAACATAAATCAAAATCTAAAGCATGGCTATCAGGAGGATTCTTTCATTGTTCAAACTGAGCTCAACTCCTGATGCATGGAGAAAAGGCCTTCACAAGCTTCTGCTATTGTGTACATAGTTTATACTAAGTGACCCATAGGTTGAGGAGGCGGTGACCGTGGCGTTGTAGGTGGAAGCAGCGGTGGAGTCGGAGGAGGTAGCCAACACTGTTTTTTTATATATATGTATATATATATATATATATATATATATAGTGATAAGGTGAATGGGGTGGTCTGTGAGGGAGTTTATATTTCATCTGCATTGTTCAGAGAGTCATATGATCTTTAACCCCAGGGGGAATATATGTATGTATGTATGCATGTAGCTTAAATGCATATTTAGTTATGGGCCCCTGGGGTGGAGCCTTTGGAGAGAAGGGTGGGCCAGTGCTCCACTCCATTATTTATTGTTTTCTCTTGGGAGACTAGGTCCAGACCAGGCTTTGGACTGTCTCCAACCCACTGCTCAGCTGCAGGTAATCAGCTGCAGCAGTGGGAATAAAACCCTCCCTGCTAGGCAGGTAGAGGAGAATGTTTATTTCTCTCTTGAAGGGCTGGAAGCAGCAGGCTGTCTAAAACACTGGAATGCTGAGAGCTGACAAAGACACTAGGTTGGTGAAACCACTTCTTGTTTTGTTATAGATTAAACCCTTGAGGGAGAGAGGGAGCTTGATGTTAGTTAGTGCTCAGACCGAGCTAGGTTTTTGTTTATAGGATTTTGTTACATTTTGTTTTCATGTGCTACTGTCTTTGTGGAGAAGCTCAACAATAAAGTGCCTGGACTTAAGTTACCTTTAACCCCTTAAGGACACATGACATGTGTGACATGTCATGATTCCCTTTTATTCCAGAAGTTTGGTCCTTAAGGGGTTAAAGACTGTGCATGTTTCTACCCAAAAGGACCGTGCTAACTGCAGACCAGGATCAATATATATATATATATATATATATATATATATATATATATATATATATATATATATATATATATACATAAATCAATAAGGGGAGCACACCAGGACTTCAATATAGTGCAAAAAGTATTTACTGTATCCAAAGCATGGTACAAATTCTGTGCAAAGAGAATCAACGTTTCGACCCTGCTGGGGTCTTTATCATTTCACAGTCCTGGTGTGCTCCCCTTATTGATTTATGTATATTGGGACGCGGGATTGCACCCAGGCATTTGAATCACTACAAGAAGAATTTTAGGAGGAGTGCCTTGCTTATTCATTTTTTGTATATATAAATTTTTAATTGGGGTAGCCCCCAAAATATTTGAACATACAAAAAAAAGAAACATTTGCGGCCTGCGGTGCATTTCTTGCAGTCCTGATGCATGGAGAAATGCTCAACTCCTGATGCATGGAGAAAAGGCCTTCACAAGCCTCTGCTATTGAGTACATAGTTTATACTAAGTGACCCATGGGTTGAGGAGATGGTGACCGTGGTGGTGTAGGTGGAAGCGGCGGTGGAGGAGGTAGCCAACACTGTTCATATATATTTATTTTTTATTTTTATTGGGGTAGCCCCCAAAATATTGGGACATACAAAAAAAGAAACATTTGCGGCCTGCGGTGCATTTCTTGCAGTCCTGATGCATGGAGAAATGCTCAACTCCTGATGCATGGAGAAAAGGTCTTCACAAGCCTCTGCTATTGTGTACATAGTTTATACTAAGTGACCCATAGGTTGAGGAGGCGGTGACCGTGGCGGTGTAGGTGGAAGCAGTGGTGGAGGAGGAGGAGGTAGCCAACACTGTTTTATATTTATATATAATTTTTTTTTTTTATTGTGTTAGCACCCAAAATATTGGGACATATAAAAAAAGACAACTCTGTTCCGCAGAGTAGCTGTTGACATTATAGTTGCGCAGGCACTTTGTTGACGCTAGAGAACCTCGGGCCAATCGCACATCCCCATGACGGCGACTTTGCATTCGGATGTCATCCATATCAACTTTCGATGCCAGTTTCTGTGCCTACCATGGTGACCATGGGTAACGGGGAATCAGTGTTCCATTCCGTACAGGGAACCTGAGAAACAGCTACCAAATGCAAGGAAGGCAGCAGGCGCGCAAATGACCCACACCCGACGCGGGAAGGTAGTGACGACAAATAACAAGACAGAACTCTTTAGAGGCCCTGTAATTGTAGTGAGTCCACTTGAAATCCTTTAACTCGGATCAATTGGAGGGAAGTCTGGTGCAGAGCCACTGACCTGTGCGTGCTGCAGCTGAAACTCCACTATCGCCTGCTGCTGCTCAAACAGTCTCTCCATCATGTGCAAGGTAGAGTTCCACCTTGTGGGCATGTCGCATATGAGGCAGTGAGCGGGAAGACCAAAATTACTCTGCAGCGCAGACAGGCGAGCAGCAGCAGGGTGAGAACGCCGAAAGCAAGCACAGCCGCTACAGTGAATGTCACATCCTGTTCCAAGTTGCGGATCAGTCTGGTGATGGCTTCTGGTATCCAGTACTCTTTTTACTGAAGCTGCATCAGGGTCCTGGTATGTGGCCGCACAAACGCTGGTGCTCAACACCAGGGGGCATGCATCAGACCCTGCTAATCCATTCCACACTGTGACTCCTAACTTCAACATCAGGCATACTAGGTCCCAGTCATCTGACCGCCACCCAGACAGTGTCTGGGTCCTGGTCACCGGACTGCCCACTTGACTTTGAAACAACGAATGGATCGTTTAATCTGGTACGAACCCGAACTTTGCAGTTTTGGGTTCGTTCAACTCTATTATGGATCCTTTGATCGCTACATGTATCACTTGGATAACTGGTAATTCTCGAGCTAATACATGCCGACAAGCACTAGGGGACGGTCGCTCCACTTTTGCACCCTGCTCCCTCTTCCTCTTCCTCCAAATTGCACACGTCACTCGCATGACCTTGATTCCATGTGGGGTCTAGGACCTCATCTTCCACCCACTCCTCAACCCTGCCCTCTTTGCCGGTATGCACACTGCAGAAAGCCACAGCATTTGGCACCTGTGTTTTTCCAGCATGTAAAGTCTGCAAAGGACATATGGAAATTGTTTTAGAATTTCCTCCAGCAACAGTTTTCCCTATAAACTGACCTCTCAGTTTGACTTGTGAGGGTATTGCCCCAGATATTGATAACTGGTTTAAATATAGCAGCTTGTTATCTGGTAGTTTCTAGTGTAGAAAATATAAATCTGTTTTCTATCACTTAGATCTGTGTAAACAAGTGTTGAAACAATATTACAAGTGACCGATGTAGTAAATTTGAATCAAAGTTACGCTTCTATTTGACTCTCAGATATGAAGAGCAGGCCCCAAAATGTACTATTTAGCAGATTAGCAGCAAAACAATTAGAATGTTTACAAGTGCGCTGTAAGCGCACTATTAGATGCTTCAATTTGACTCTCAAATATGAAGAGCAGGCCCCAAAATGCAGATTAGCACCCAGAAAATAAGAATTTTTACAACTGCGCAGTAAGCGCACTATTAGACGCTTCTATTTGACTCTCAGATATGACGTACAGGCCCCAAGATGTACTGTTTAGCACCAAAACAATTAGAATGTTTACAACTGCACACTAAGCGCACTATTAGACACTTCTATTTGACTCTCAGATATGAAGAGCACCCCCAAAATTTACTATTTAGCAGATTAGCAGCAAAACAATTAAAATGTTTACAAGTGCGCTGTATGCGCACTATTAAGACCGTATCTTCAGAAGGATATTGATACTGTAAGACCGTATCTTCAGAAGGATATTGATACCTTAGAGAGAGTTCAGAGAAGGGCTACTAAACTGGTTCATGGATTGCGGGATAAAACTTACCAGGAAAGGTTAAAGGATTTTAACATGTATAGCTTGGAGGAAAGACGAGACAGGGGGGATATGATAGAAACATTTAAATACATAAAGGGAATCAACACAGTAAAGGAGGAGACTATATTTAAAAGCAGAAAAACTACCACAACAAGAGGACATAGTCTTAAATTAGAGGGACAAAGGTTTAAAAATAATATCAGGAAGTATTACTTTACTGCGTGGGATAGGCATAAGGCTATCCTAACTATAAGATAAGGCCAGGGACTAATGAAAGTATTTAGAAAATTGGGCAGACTAGATGGGCCGAATGGTTCTGCCGTCACATTCTATGTTTCTATGTTTAGACGCTTCGATTTGACTCTCAGATAGGAAGAGTAGGCCCCAAAATGTACTATTTAGCAAATTAGCAGGAAAACAATTAGAATTTTTGCAACTGTGCAGTAAGCACACTATTAGACGCTTCTATTTGACTCTCAGATATGAAGTTCACGCCCAAAATGTACTATTATCAGATTAGCAACCAGAAAATAAGAATTTTTACAACTGCACAGTAAGCACACTATTAGACGCTTCTATTTGACTCTCCGATATGAAGCGCACCCCCAAAATTTACTATTTGGCACCAAAACAATTAGAATTTTTACAGCTGCGCAGTAAGCACACTATTTGACGCTTCTATTTGACTCTCAGAAATGAAGTGCACCCCACTAATGTACTTTTTAACACCCAAAAAAATTCAAGTTTTAAAACTGCAATGTGACGCTTCTATTTTACTCTCAGATATGAAGTGCACCCCACCCCACTAATGTACTAGTTTGCAGAATTCTTTCCTAAGCTGTCCTTATCAGCGGCAGCATCCTCTCCCTACACTAATTAGAGCTCATGTGCGTGCGGCGCTACGCGACTCCAGCTTATATATAGAGGTTGGGTCACATGCTGCACTGGCCAATCACAGCCATGCCATTAGTAGACATGCCTGTGATGGCTTCTAAGGGTACACAAGTCAAACGCTTGTTGATTAGCTGCCTGTAGCCTTTGAAAACGCGCCATTAAATCGCCGAACACTGAACTCCAACCCGAACATACAGTGATATGTCCGTGTTCGGGTCCGGGGTCCAAAAAAACAATGTTCGGTACGAACCTGAACTTTTTAGTTCGGTTTCACTCAACTCTAATTATAATAGTTGCATTGACACTTCCCCTTCAATGTGGAGCTGTGAAGCATTTAACATGTGTGTGGTATTGTTCCTCTATTACTATGTGTACTTGCCTGGTCATCCTATGATTGCAACTGGTTATGGGTCCAGAAGGGATTCTGGAAAATGATGGCGCAGGCTGTGCTTTGACAGAGATGTATAGAATTATGAGTTATGGGTGACAAAGCTCTTGGGACATCTGCACTGGATTAAGATAAACTTAAGAATGAGAAAGCATGTGCTGAACTAATGTAGTTCTTAAATGACAGAAGTTTGTCTTTAATCAGTAGGGAGGTAGCTGATGATGGGGAAAAAAGTTGCGCTATATACTGAGAGAGATTTTTATGCAAGCAAGGGAAAACCCTGACTAGTTCGTTTGTACACCAAGCTAACATCTCTTCATAAAGGTGCAAATGAAAGTGTGATGGACTGTTATTCATGCAGAGACCGCTATTACAGTATTAAGAAATGCAGGAGGAATATTGAGTGATGGATTGTTGATTGTGAAAAATGTGGATGGATATGAACTTCTAGGTCACTGTAATTATGACATTGCAAACTTAAAAAAATGTCGAAGAAATTAAGATTAAGGGTGAAGTTAATAGAACTGACCTAAATTGTGAAGTTTGCACAAATTTGTTCAGAGTAGAAGCTTAATGCCAGAGCTACATCAGCACTAGAACTGGTGCACACTGATTTAGGAAGTCCCATAGAACCACAAGCGAGAGAAGGTTTCAAATATGCCATGGCATTCACTGATGACTAGTAAGGAGGTTTTGTATACTTCCTGAAAAATAAGAGTGATGCAGTGCTAGCCGCTGAAAAGTTTCTTGACAACACAGCCCCATATGGAAACATAAAGTGTATAAGATTTGACAATCTTGTACTGAGTTTATTACTGAGAGTTTTTGGTCACCACTAAATTAGCAAGGTATTAGACATGAAACCTTAGCATCTTACTAATCCAGGTAAAAGGTACTGTTGAAAGAAACTGGAGAATACTATTCGCAATGGGAAGATATCTGTTGATCCAAATTGAATTGTCAAAGAAATGTTGCATACACACAGCATTGACTGCTGCTCAGATCTAAAACAGGCACATTAATATCCATCTAGTAGAAATTGCATATTATTTGTTAATGGGCAAAAGAACTAGCCTTTCTAAAATGAAGATTTTTGGGTCAGACTGTTTTACATGGAAGTGTTATATAAAGAAGTTAAATTCAAAATGTGCATATGACAAGAAAAGTCCTTATCTAGTGTACCATTGTGACACCAAAAAGGTTTCTTAAACTCACAGGCTTGTGACATTTGTTACAAAGATAGCTGAAAGACAAACTCAAACTGATCTATTGTATGATGAAGAAAATTGCCACAGAGAGAAAAATGTGCCATCTGTAATGAAAACTAATAATGTTGAAGTTGAGTGCTCAGAAGAGATCCACATGTCTAAAGGAGAAACCTCAAAGAGTGAGGAGAATCGTCAAACAAGGAATGTTCATGGTACATGATACCCTAAAAGAAATAGGAAAGGCCCCCAGTATTGAGAGACTATATTTCAGATTTCAAAAGCAATGACCATGCATTTATGAACATTGTTTAATGTTGCAGGGTGTTTGAAGTACCACAACCTTTGGAAGATGTTAAAAAATCACTTTAGTCACAACCCGTCCTAGTAATATGAAATAAGAAATGGAGTCACTAAGAAAGAATAACACTTTCACTTTGACAACTTTGACAGAAGGCAAACCTTCAGTAAAGGGTCAATATGTGTATACAATAAAGAACAAAACTGATAGGAAATGTATATGGCCAGATATTTTGCTAAGGTTATAATCCAGTAAAGCCAGTTGATTCAGAAAAAATATTGTCCACAACCGTCAAAATTAACTTATCTTAATGCAACTAGCAGCACAATATAACTTACTTTATCATCAGATAGATATGAAAACAGTTTACTTGAATGCTCCAATTGATTGGGAAATGAATTGAGAACAACCAGAAGGTTTTGAGGTCAAGCCCAAACAGAATGGAAAAAAAGTTTTGAACAGGTCATTGTAAAGTTTAAAACAGTAAAGTATAAATTGGAATAAAGTGC